ACAAAGGGAAACATACCACAGCATGCCCATGAAGTCATTAAGCAACGGTATCTCAAAGTTACTCAGCAGGAAATGAGGGGCCCCTTTGCTCAAACCCAAGTTCTATGGAGCCCAAGGAAACCATTTCCCTCAACAAGACCTCATCCCTTCCTTGTCAGAGAACAGGCGTTCTTAACATGAAGGCCCCACATTCCTGAGAAGCCCATGGATAGAATTCAGAGGACCCCGTGAATTTGGATGGGAAAGAAATTACATCTTTATTTCCAAATTTCTTTTACTGAAAGTTAACATTTCCTTCCATTATATCTTATGGGCAACAAACCACAGTATTCATAGCAGTACCTATGATTTTGTCACCAAAAGAAATGACATTTTCACACCACATTTATTTGTACATGTCTCAAAATAGTATTTATATTTATCACTACTTCAAAATTATGGTAGCTCTTAGCCCTGCCCCTAGATCACATATAACTGTGATCTTCCTGTCGACAGGCACTCATGCGAGGTAGCTGGCCAAGTATGAAGCAGCTATTGTTCAGCCACCAACTGTGAGACTCCATGTACTCACACTGGTGACCTGGGCATCTACAATGCCCCTTCCTCCAGCCTTCCCCACGTCAAACCACCACTCCCTCCTGGTTCCCAGGAAGCCCTCCCTAGTCACCTCAGCCAAGCCTAACCCAAACACAGCTCTCTTAATTCTTAGCCTACGCTGTCTACACTGCCTGGTTTTATGCTTCCTTAAGCCTATGCATTATGCTATATTTAATACAGAGCATGCCCCCTGCCCCCAGACTTAGACTTCTTTGGTACCCCTAAGTCTCTTCCACAGCGCAAAGTAAGCAGTAAACACTCATTATGGACTTGTGGGTTGAATAACCAATTAAGTTAGGGTCCTTGACTTGACTATCTTCATCTAGTTTGACCAATAACCCACTGTGGAACTTGTATTTGATGCTTCTTGGGATGTCAGTTCCCTCATTTGTAAAAAATAAGTGGGTTGAACTAACTGATGTTTCCACCTCTTAACTTCTGAATTAGGCAACCACTTTCTATCTCCCAAGATCTGAGAAAAAATTATGGGGGAAACTGAAATGCCTCCCCCAGCTCTCCCAGGCAGTGTTAGTCACTGCTCCTCTGGGCTCCCCACAGCCTTGTGTGTGTGTGTATACAATACCTCTATCACAGAGTTTAACACAAAGTTGTGAGAGTGTATAACCTAAGGGCTGAGGTAGAGGCAAGAGTCAGGCTGCCTGGGTTCAAATTCTAACTCTACTCCTTACTTGCTGTATAATCTTGGGTAAGTTACTTAACCTCTCTCTGATTCCATTTCCTCAAATATAAAACAGGGCTAATACTCAACACACTGGATGATAGTAAGAATTAAGTGAAAGGGCACCTGGGTGGCTCAGTGGGTTAAAGCCTCTGCCTTGGGCTCTGGTCATAATCCCAGGGTCCTGGGATTGAGCCAAGCCCCGCATCACATGGGGCTCTCTCCTCAGCAGGGAGCCTGCTTCCCCCCCAACTCTCTCTGCCTGCCTCTCTGCCTGCTTGTGATCTCTGTCTGTCAAATAAATAAATAAATAATCTTAAAAAAAAAAAAAAGAATTAGTGAAATAAAATGTTTGGAACAGTGACTGCCACACACTAAGCACTAACAAATGTTAGTTGCTATCACCGCACTGTTATTAATGTCTTCCTAGGCACTGAATTGCTCCTTGAGCTGGATCTCTGTCCTCCTCCCCTTCTCAAAACACTGCTCTGGTTACGCTTTCTTCCATAGCACCACACCATGATAAAATATTTATGTATTTATTTCCTATCTCCCCATTAGACGGTAACCTCCTTGAGGACAGAGAACATATCTGTTCTGTTCATCCTTAAATTCCTGCCACTGAACATAGCATGTGGCACAGAGCAGACACTCAAATATCTGTTAAATAAAGAGCACGTGAGCTGGTACTGTTCAGAGTTTGCTGAATAAATTAACCTAGCTAAGGAGTGATCGTCAAAGCTGAGGTGTGGGTACAGATGATGTCCTAGTTGCTCCAGGATTAGTGTGACCCTCTCCCCGCCCCAATATTAGCCTCCGCCAAGCCCCACCCACCTGCCCTTGGCCCCCATCCAGTTCCGGGAGCTACCCTCAGCTAAAATTAGCATAGCCACCAAGATGGCCAGGCCATTTATAGCCTTGGAGGCAGCAGCAACTAGCTGGGTGGGCAGACAGGGCTCTGGCCTCCCACTCCCATCAGGGGTTGATTGAGAACCCAGCCTGAAGTCCACACACTGCTTGGATGCCTATCCTCCAAGGTCCTGTTCTGGCTATACTGAGTCACACCACAGTTCTGGATCAGAGTTATCTCCCACCCTGGCAGTCACAACCTGACTCACCTGGGATCCCCCACAAACATTCTGCAGAAAACCTTTTGAGTTTCTGGAAGCAATGAGCCCAGAGTCTACGGGAGGTTCTAAGCATCAGTTTCAGGGCAGCTTCAGAAATGCAGTCCCCAGGGTGGCACACCCAGGCCCAGATCTTTACTGAGAAAATGACTTAGCACAGCTGGGTGTGCAGGAATCAAAGAGCCAGAAGGGGACAGGAATGGCCTCTCCGCTGTCAGATGAGAGGGCCTCTTAGCAGAGCACCTGCCTTCACTGCAGGAACAGGGTTTTAAGATGGACCTATACAACCAATGAGAGAAAAAAATCCAATTCTCTGGCCTCTGCAGAAGGCTCTCCAGGTGAGAAAATGACAGCCTTCTCCTTGGATCTTATCAGCTCAGTTACCAGGGCCTGCCTAAATAAATGACCAGGAAGAAAGTAACATTCTCTTGGCCCTGCCTAGCACTCCTTTAACAGGGCAGGGCCAGAGAAGATGGAAGAAATCTAAGACCTGCCTATAAGAGAGCATAAGACCCGCTTTCTTGACCTACAAAAAAGGGGCTCATACCACCTGCCATGCATTCTACTAGACTATCATGAGCCTTTTATAGGAAAAAATAGCTGTATAATTATAAAATATAAACTACAGAGAACATATAAATTGACCAGGTATGCCAAAGACGATTAGAGAAATGGCAGCTTTAAGGGCAAGTAAAACTCCTGCACTCTAAGAATACATGGAGACTGGAAGGGCTACGAGGGTTCCTGGCTGCATAAGGAGCTTCTCCACAAATCCTTTAGCAGAGCCCAGTCCATAAGCCACCTCTTTGCAAAAAAAAAAAAAAGAGAGTCCCTGTCTAAGCCAAAGTCCCAGATAGGCCCAAGGGACAACCTAGAACAACAGTGCTGGGGTCCCCAGGTTCCCACAAACTATAATCATGCCTGGCACCTAGGGTCCTTCTCTAGGACTTCCCTCCCTGGGATTCAGTATTATTATGACAACAGAAACTAATTTCTGAACTGAGAGGAATCAAGGACCAAACCAGAGGCCTAAGTGGTATAATCAGCATAGCCAGGCCTCTGAGATATGCTATGAGGAGGGCTGTCCCCACAAGATCAAGTCACCTCGTGGTTCTGAGGGATGCTGGAAGGCCTCTTACCTTAAGCACAATCTTCTCGATTGAAAGTTAATGCTTAAAATTCAGAACGTCATCACTTTAGCTCATGTCTAAAATATAAATCACCTCCCCCCCTCCAAAAATATTCATTTTATCTCAGGCACTCATATTTTAGGGTGAGAAAAGGATATTTCAGCCTAATAAGCAGGACTGTCACTGACACAGCAGAGATGTTCCTAGGTTCTACTTCACAGTTTGATCTACATCTGCCTACTAGACTTTCCCCTCACAGCCCAACGAAAATCTAGCTTTGAGCTACATTTCCGGGGCCAAGGAGATACCTTATGGAGGAACAGGATTCATCTGCAAGAAAGACCAATCTTCAAAACAACAGCCTAGGTCCTATGCTTGTTGCAGGGCAACCCTACTTGGAACTCAGCCTTCAGGTACACCCAGCCCAATCAAAGAAGTTAAAAGAGGGGGTTTTCCGAGAAAGGGTCTACCATCAAAGCCAGCATCTGGATCCATCCATAAAACTTCCCAGCCACCATGACCTATGTTTCCTTTCCCTCCTTCTATCAGTGGGTATCACTGAGCAGTCACCTCATTAAAACTCAGCTATAAACTCTCCCTAATCTGCAGCCCACTGCTTTGGATAGAACACAGTACCAGGGTGAGAGAAACGAGGAAAGACCACCAAATTCCTTCTAAGCCTTGTGTAAAACAACTGAATTTTAAAAGTATTCTTTTCTTTTGCATTCTGCAACAGAACTCCAGGGCTCCTGATATCTAACAAGGCTCCATGAGTACATAAAGAAAAACAGGACAGGTCAAAAATATCATAGAATTCCTACCCTCATCCGTCAGAAGAAATACAATAAATCAACAAGTGGCCCCAGAAATTATACCATACCCACAATAAGAAAAATCCATTTACCTCCCTAGTGGTAAATAGTATTCGACCTAACGAACTACCGTGATATTTCAAATGGGATTGCTAAAAGACAGCAGATTACCTAAGGGAAGGGAAGGACTAAGTTTCCCACGCTTGTTGGAACCGAAAGGCACACCTCAACACCAAGCTATAGGGCAACAGAGTTGGCCCAGCCCTGACTTTCCCTGCCCAACCCAAGTAGCCTCAACCTCCCCTGTGCTGACAAGTGCTGAAACTGGCCAAGAGCAAATAGACGTATCATCTGCTTAGGCCATTCTTCCAGAAAAGTAGTCCTGAGAATGGGTCCTGGCTTGCTGATCTGAAAGGCCAAGGTGCCCCAAAGGCCAACCCCTTCTCACTACCAATAGAAGACATTCTGGGGAGAGAGGAGGAAAGTTGCTTGCCAGGGACAGAGACATTAGCCACGGCTCCTGAACAGAAAGAACTCCTTGCACTGCTGAGAACAGGCAGTGCTATCACCCGCACATGCAGAAACCTAAGGTTCAACTTGCCCCTCGTTCTCAGTCAACGCTCCCAGCCCACTCCAGCCCGTGGCAAGGCCTTACCTGCTGCAGTGGACTCCTCGGAACTAGCCCCCGAGCCAGCTCCCGTCGCCTTCTCGCTGTGGCTATGGCTGAAGCTCTGGCCGTGATGCAGGAGAAGCCCCCAGAGGAGCCACAGGGCAACACGGGCGCACACATCCATGACTCCAAGTCTCAGTCAACATGCGCCTGATGTGGACACCCGGGATCCCAGAGCAAAGCCGGGAGCCCAGAAGTGTAGCCGACAGTCCTGGAACCCCAGGCAAGATGCCCTCGAGGCGCCGCAGCTGTCCAGGCACCCGCCGGCCTGCCTCCTACGACAGCCAAAGGTCAAGTGCTCCAAGTTTGGGCACGGGAGGAGGGCGGGTTCCTCCGTTCCAACAGTGGGTCCGCCGGAGCTGCGGCGGCCTGAGCGCCGAGTCTGCTCCAGCCGCTTCCGGAGAGTTGGTACAGGGTGGCTGCGGGGCTGCTGTCAGCTCCGCAGCGGGCTACACCTCTGCGGGAGGAGGCGGACTGGCGGGATCTCCCGCGGGCACCGGAGTGGGGGAGGAAGGGAAGAGAGGGGAAGAAGGGGGCACCTGGCCTCTCCCCGCCGAGTAGCCGCGAGCAGCACAGGCTCGGAGAGGGCGTGCAACTCGCAGGTCCCCGCGGGCGCGGGCGGCTCCGGGATCCCAGGCCTCCTAGGCCGAGGTCGGCGCCCCCGCCCAGTCCCGTGCCCAGGCGGCCCGCGGTGCCCAGGTTCAGCAGGCGGACGCGCAGTGGCCAGGCCCGGGACAGCGGCTCCCTGGCAGGCTGGCGGGCGGCGCGGGGCGGGCCCGGGGCGGGCGGGGGCGTGCTCTCCTGCAGGCCCGCCCCGCGCCGCCCGGCCCCCAGCGAAGCCCGGCCCGCCCCAGCGCCGGGCTTATCCCGGAATAACCTGTTAGAGGCAGCTGCTGGGTGCCCTCAGCCCGCGGTGGGCTCTCCCCGCCCCCGGTCCGCACTGGTGTCTGCAGGACCCCTTCCCGCGCCAAGGGTCGGGTCCCGGCCTCCCCTTCCCCCAAGGGAATCTCTCCCGCTCTAACCGCCCGCGGATGGGCGGGCGCGCCCCGGACACGCAGTTGCTCAGGTAACCCAGGCCTGCAGCGACGGCGACAGTAACTGCCCTGCCCGATCTCCGGGCCTCGGTGCTGCTCCACTCGCCTCAGCTCTAAAGCCGGGCTGGACAGAGACCCCCGGCACAACGATTGCAATCCCGGGATGCCTGAAGCGACAACTGCCTGGCCCGGATGGGCCGGGGGCACGCTCCCAGCCCCCCACTTCGGGCCGGCTTTCAGGCTCCGCCCTCCCTCCGCGCCGCGCAGCCAATCAGCTTCCTCCTCCCTGCAGTTTAGGAACCTGCGCTCTTAGTCATCCGCGCGCAGCGGCCCCTGGCGGGCAAATCTGGGTGCTGCACACAGGACTCGAGCTCCTGGGAGGCCCAGCCCCTTTGCGGAGGGTTTGGAGAGTGAAGCAAGGATCCGCCCCAGGGCAACCTATTAGGGACTGAGAGTGTTTTCAGAGGAAATGATGCTAGAAAACAAAATGAAACGTCCAAAACACTATAGTTAAAATTGCCCTACGCATCCCTTAAGTCTCGGCTAAAGGACCCCAACAGCCCATCTGCTGACCCCCACCTTCCTGCCACATTCAAGAGAAGTCGGATGCGCTCCTTTAACTGTCACCGTCCGTTTTCCTACCTGCCCCTCAAATCCCCTCCCCTTTGAGGTTTTTGTGGGTAGGACCCGTGACTGGTTCCTCTCTGCCTCTCACTCTCCCAGCTTTCCGTGTCGGTTGGAGAAGGTGTTAGCGACTTAGAATGAGTGCCCCAGTGAAGAGAGAGCAGCGCCAGGGCCTCCTTCAACAGAGCCTGCATTTCCTGTTCTCTCTTGAGTATGCTGTCAGCAGATCTTTACTAAAACCTGCTCTGTGCCCTACCCTATCCTTGGCACCGGAGGCAGGAGAAGGAATTGGGCACAGTCTCTCCTCTGACTGACAGTGCTAAGCCAGCTACCTGTTCTGAGAGAGCCCTCGGAAGACCAGGAACATGGATTTACCCAACAGCTGTCTGGCTTAAGGGTTAGACAGCTGATATAAAAATACACTTATAACGTCATCTACTACCGCTCTCCCCACTCTCAAGCTCCAGTCACACTGGCCTTCTTTAAGTTCCTCAAACACACTGAACCTTCACCACCCCGCCTTTGTATCTGCTGTTGCTTCTGCCTGAAACACTCTCCCCTCTACCTCCAGCTCCGGGTATAACGGCTCTCTCCTTCTTCCAGATACAATTCAAGGTCTCCTCCTCAAAAACTTCCACTTCTAACCAAGCCTTGGGTCCAGAATTGGACCTTACAGATGTCTGCCTCCCTCCGCCCCCATAAGATTGAGTTTTCAGAGGTCAGGGGGTTGTGTCTTATTCATCTCTGAGAAAGGAGGATCCAGTCATAGGCCCTGCACATAGTAAGTTCTCACTAAAAGCTGGTAGATGAATTAATTCATTTGATCACTAAAATATTTATTGAATAACAACTCTGTGCTGGGAAACTGTCCAGAACAGAAGATGAGCCCCTGACCTAAGTTCTACTAGACCTATGCTCTGAGTCAGGGGCCTTAAGCTCAAATGGCAAAGTTGGCAGAGAGATAATACAATTCAGAGAAGTAGGGGGGGTAATAGGGAGTGGTAGGGACTATGGCACACTGGAGAGCAGGCAGGAAGGTGAACTCAGTATTTAAGAGAAGATGGAAAGCTGGACTTTTACATGACATAGCACTTTTTTTAGTACTAGCAATTAATTTTTAAAAGTAAAAAGCCCTGGGACACCTGGGTTGCTCAGTGGTTTAAGTATCTGCCTTTGGCTCAAGTCATGATCCCAGGGTCCTGGGATTGAGTCCTGCATTGGGATTCTTGCTCAGCAGGTAACCTGCTTCTCCCTGTGCCTGTGCTCCTCCATCTTGTGCTTGTGCTGTCTCTCTCTATCTCTCCGGTGGGTGGGTGGGGGGGATGTCTTATAAAAATAAATAAATAAGTAAATAAAAAGCCCTATATGGACCATATAAACACATTTGCGGTTTAAATTAGTCACTCAGCTTGCTAGTTTGTCACTTCTGCCTAAGTCAACTTGGCCTGTTCACTCATTTGCCTAAGAGAACAGCCCAGAAAAAAAGAAAGTAAAACATGTTTAACTTCCTTTAAACTCGACTGCATTATTTCTCTTAGCTACCACATGATTTTTGAAGGACTATGGGAGCATAACTCATTTGATACAAAAAGCCTGGGTCTTGAAGGCAGGAAGTGAGGCTCTGTTACCAATTCATACCAAGAACTTGAACCTGTCAGAGCAAGTTGCATTTCCTGTGAGGCTAAAATGGTGGCTGGGAACTAATAATAGAATTAGCATATGAGGTGCCTGGCTGGCTCAGTCAGTAGAACATGGAACTCTTGATCTCGGGGTCGGGAGTTCAAGCCTAACATTGGGTGTGGGGCCTACTTAATTTTAGAAAGAAAGAAGGAAGGAAGAAAGGAAGGAAGGAAAGAAAGAAAAAGAAAGAAAGAAAGAAATTAGCATACAATCCCAGCAATTCCACTCCTGGATATATACTCAAAAAATTGAAAACAAGAGGATGCCTGGGTGGCTCAGTGGGTTAAGCCTCTGCCTTCAGCTCAGGTCATGATCTCAGGGTCCTGGGATCGAGTCCCACATCGGGCTCTCTGCTCAGCAGGGAGCCTACTTCCCTCCTTTCTCTCTCTCTGCCTGCTTCTCTGCCTACTTGTGATCTCTCTCTGTCAAATGAATAAATAAAAATCTTTTTTAAAAAATTGAAAACAGGGTCTCAAAGAGATATTTGTACACCCATGTTCATAACAGTACTATTCACAATAGCCAAAAGGTAGAATCTAAATGGACAGACAAATGAATAAACAAAATGTGGTATATACATACAGCGGAATATTATTCAGCCTTAAAAGGGAAGAAAATTCTACATTCTACAACATGGATGAAACTTGAGGTTCATTATGCTAAGTAAAATAAGCTGGTCACAAAATGTAAATTCTATATAATTCTACTTTATGAGGTACCTAAAGTAGTCAAATTCAGAGAGACAGAGAGTAGGATAGTAATTGCCAGGAGAGGATAGAGAATTGTTTAATGGATATAGTTCAATATTTCAAGCTGGTTGCATAACAATGCAAATGTACTTAACATGACTGAACTGTACATTTAAAAATGGTGAAGAAGGGGCACCTGGATGGCTCAGTCGGTTAAGCCTTTGCCTTTGACTCAGGTCCTGATCCCAGGATCCTGGGAATGAGCCTCCACTGGGTTCCCTGCTCGGCAGGGGAGCCTGCTTCTCCCTCTCTCTCTGCCTCTCCCCTCTGTTCATGCTCTCTCTCTATCTCTCTCTCTCTCTCTCTCTCTCTCAAATAAATAAATAAAATCTTTAGAGAAAAAAAAAAGCCGGTTCCCCTCTGGATCTCAGTATCCCCAACTCAGGATATATAAGTACCAGATTTTTTTTTTTTTTTAAGATCATAGTCTTCTTTTTTTTTTTTTAATTTTATTTATTTATTTGTTAGAGAGAGAGCATGAGCACAGGCAGACAGAGTGGTAGGCAGAGGCAGAGGGAGAAGCAGGCTCACCGCCGAGGCAAGGAGCCCGACGTGGGACTCGATCCCAGGACACTGGGGTCATGACCTGAGCCGAAGGCAGCCACTCAACCAACTGAGCCACCCAGGCATCCCTAAGTACCAGATTATTAATTCAGCTTGGCCTTAATATTCTACAAAACAGGAAAATGCTGAGACCTCATGGATCTTCCTGGATCTGAAGTTTTGACTCTCACTTCAGTAGTCCCTATGTTGGGTCCTCACATGAGTATAGCCTCTGTAAGAATACCTCATCACATTATAAATCTCAAGAGGAAACAGAGAGCTTTTTGTTTCCCCCATCTGTCTATTTTAAACCTAAACACCAAGCCTTTACCATACACCAGGTGTATCTTACTTGAATTGCTCTTAGGGCCCTGCTCCTGAAATTCTGCAGATGTTGGTTAAATCAAATTGGATTAACAATTCTCGTGCCTCTATGCTACTCTTTGCCAGAGCTGTCATATCAAACATCTTCTCTCCTTCACAAGAGCTCTGCTGGGTAAGACAAGGCTATACTCATTACAGATAAAGAAACTAAGGCTGAGGCCACCACACCAAACTCTGTCCTTTGGAATTTTCTCTCTATCCTGCAAGTCTTAGCTCCAGTGAAAGAAAAGCATCCGTGCCTTGAACAATGATGACAGCACAGCATGAACCAAAAGTTGTGATTAGTTAAAAAAAAAAAAAAAAAAGACCCAGCTCAAAAGTCACCCTTTCCTTCCTTCACCTCCTTGCCTGTCTTGCCTGACTTGCCCTATGTCTCCAGTCTTCTGCTATATCTTATAGCTGAATACGATCTTATACTTATGATCTCATAAGTATCTATCTTCTCCATTAGCTTCTGCGTTCATCAGGGACTGAATTTTATTTATCTTCATACTCTCCAGGGCTAGGACTTGAACCAGTGCAAAGCTGGTACTCAATAAAAGTGCATAAATGAATGATGTGTGTTCTCTAT